TATTATGATGTCATGGAGGGAACTTTTGACGAATGTTTTGGGTTGTCGAAAGATGTCATCCAATCCAATAAAACAAGAAAACTTTGAAGGTTAAGTAGTGATGTCACAGTTAATTTAGGGCATTGTCGTTCATAATTCAATGAAGTAGTAACTGGAAATTGAGTTGTTTGCATACAAGTCATGTGTGGAGAAAAAGCCTCTAGCTATCCCATCCATCATCTTATTTCTCAAATTTGTTTTACAATTTGTCTAGTTTTTCATACTTGTTTGTTTGTTTCAACTTCATCCAAATCAAAACCTCCCTCTTAGTTTCTTGTTTCAAATTTGTTTTGTTTGTGTTTTTGATTGTTTTAGGTGAAGCCAAAACCCAATTTTCGTTCAAAGTTGTGTTTAGAGTCAGAAATTGCCCAACAAGTGTTTTTAGGCAGTTTTGAGTGTTTTTAAGTTGTTTTAAGTCTTTTGAACCTGTTTTGAGTCCCTTGAATCTATTCAAACGTTTTTAACTTTGTTTTTATGTTTTTGAGTCAGTTTAGAGGTTATTAGCAAGCCCTCCTAATCCCTGGTCTAGAACGATCCCTACTTATACATATACTACAATTGTCAAAATAGGGTTTAATTTGTGTGTTAAGTTAATTTTCGTATCACCTATGTGTATAGGTATGAAGGTTTAAGTGTGTATATATATATGTGTGTGTGTGTGTACGGACACTTAAACCTTCGTACCATTCTTATATATATAGGTATGAAGGTTTAAGTGTGTGTGTGTATGTGTGTGTGTGTATATATATATATATATATGTGCCTCTGTGTGTGTGTGTGTGTGTGTGTGTGTGTGTGTGTGTACGGACACTTAAGCCTTCGTACCTATGTGTACGTATATACCCACACTTCCATACCTTCGTACATATTGCAACGGGACAGAGACTAAAGAGTTAAGACAAGTTAGATTTGAAGCTAACAGACCATTCCCAACACAACAAGGGGCAATTTTACTAATTCCATGCCTTTGTGGATTCTTTGATTACGTAGTTCAGCTGATAATTAGGTTGTCGTCGTTCCCGCGAGAGGAGTGAACCAACCAATAATGTTTGTGAATGGACCTATCTTTCCTTCGCTAATCACCCGTTTTGATAGCTTTTGCTCCAAGCTGGCTTTATGTGTACGTATGTACTGACACTTATCCTATAAATAATAAGGTGTTGATATATATTCTTTTTGTTGATAATATGTTAAGGAGTTGTTATAAAAAAAATTTGTACGTACGATACATGTGAACCTCTATTTATGTGCAAGTAATACCTTATTGTGTTATACATGTTTATTGAATTTCTAGATGATATGAATGAAATGTACAATTGTTGGTATAGAAGTGCAGGCCTGGAATCTTATTAAAAGTAATTTGTAGAACTTATATGCTTATATGACAAGATAGTGGTCATGAGAAATTGTTTGTGCATGTGTCTACATTGTAAATCATAGGGGTTGAGGTATGGATAGGTTGTGTGTTGAATTGACTGCACTATGTAGCAGTGGTACATGGATGGTCCTGCTTGGTATATTCGCGATAGGGTACCATACATATTTCAGGGGTGATCATGCTTGATATATCTGCGATGGGTGATTACTACCTACACAATTAGATATGCCTATGATTTTGTTTGATTTATCCACAATGGAGGACCATACACATTACAGGAGTGATCATGCTTGGTATATCATTAATAGGTGATCACTACCTAGAGTTACAGGATACAGTCCTGCTTGGTATATCCGCGATGGGTGATCAGTGCTTACGTTATTAGACTATGCATATGGTTCTGCTTGGTTTATCCGCTATAGGGGACCATACGCATTCTAGGAGTGATCATTCTTGGTATATCCACGATGGGTGATCACTACCTAGAGTTAGGATATGGTTCTGCTTGGTATATCCGTGATGGGGGACCATATGTATTTTAGGGTTGATCATGCTTGGTATATCCACAATGGGTGATCACTGCCTGCATGATTAGATTATGCTTATGGTTCGGCTTGGTATATCCGCAATGGAGAACCATACACATTCTAGGGGTGGTCGTACTTGGTATATCTGTGATGGGTGATACTGCCTATTTAGGTTTATGAGGATTAGTTGTACTTGGTACATTTCAATAGGTGACCATATTTTAGTTGGATTCCATTAAGTGATCCGCAATCCCCGTCCTTGCTCACAATAGACATTATGATTATAAATTAGATTTACCATGTTATTACTTGGAATCCAGGTAGGGAATTATGTAGATTTCCTAATTAAATTTCGTGAAATGATATGTGATCTTGTTGATTGATTGACGTAGTTAAATGTTTATATCGTTCATTTTTTTTTATTCATGGAATTGATTAATTGACGTGATTGTTGAATGATATTGGATATGATTGTTATTATTATGATCAGATTAGTTGATCAATTTGGCTAGAGAATAATATTGCACTTCGTTGGTTCTTTGATATGTTATGTGCTATGGATTGCGGTATTATGTTGAAAACATAGTGATTATATGATTGATGAAATGGAAATCTTGAATGTCATATAGGTTTGTTATGTAGCCTGAATCTAGTAGTTCATGCTTGTCAAGTTCCAATAATTGATTGAGGAATGTTATGCCTTTCTGTTAGAATGTATTGTGATAAACATCGGAGTGTAATGAATGGTGAACTACGAATGACTTTATCCCTTCTTATAGTATGCAGGCAGTCTAATGCAAATGTTAGATGCAACCATGAAATAAAAGAAAAGGACTGCTTGTGAGTCATTGTTTGTGTATTGGTCTTGTCTCGAAGGTGAGACATGATAAATAAACAGGGATGTGGTGAAGTGACGTGTCGATCTTGGACATATGTTGGGATTGGGACGTGCCAAAAATGGTGGAATTGGAATTGAATTGGAAACAAAGACTAAACTAAGATCAGGCGGAGAGAGAGAGAGAGAGATTAAATGGGGTCAAGGTTTGTTGTTTGGCTAAAGCAGAAACTAGATAGTTTACTTTTTTTTTTTCTGGCTAATTTAATTGGGCTGATTTGATAATAGATTTCATTCTAACTATTAAATAAAGTTGTTATGATGCTTTTAGTAAAGATTTAAATTTTAAAACCCTTTTTGTTAATTTTCCTATAATAAAAAGGGGTAATGCTAGGAGACAAAATTTGCAAACTAAGTGATGTGTCACCAAAAGGAGAAAATTTTCATTGTGACTGGAACATAAGTGGTTCACCACGTGTTTTTATATAAATGGTGGAAATTTTAAATATTTAAGTTATGCATTCTGGATTGACTCAAAGGAACCTAAATATTTCTAGGGATCTAGCTCTAGACCAACTTAATGAAGCTAGAAAGTAGGGAGTGGGATTCTAGACCAACTTAATGGAATCCATAAGATGTAAAGTTCTCAACAATTTTGAATGGAACTGAATCGGAAGCAGAATTCCGAAGTAGTCCAATAGAATCCAAATGGAGGAGGGTTCCGGACCAACTCAACAGAAACAGATTGGAAACAAGATTTTGAAATAACTCAATGAAATCTGAACGAAGTAGGGTTTCAGACCAACTCAACAGAACTGAATAGGGAATGGAATTCCAGGCCAACGCAACGGAACCGAATAGGGAGCGAGATTCTGAGCCAACTCAACGGAATCCTAACAGAGCATGGTTGGGTTCTGGACCAACTCAACGAAACCTAAACGAAACCCGATTCCTGACCAACTTAACGAAAATGTGTAAAATTATAAGAACTTAGTTTAGAACAACTCAAAGGAACTAGACATAATACAAGTGTGACGTCACAACTCCCCATTACAATGTGTTAACAATCCTCTACTAGCCCTCACGTTTCATAAACATTTCAAATATACAACACCCTAGCACAAAGATCAAGGCAATACCTACAATTACTGCCTAAAACAAAGCACAAGTCTCGTGTTTGAATTCTACCAATAAAAAACGCATAATTCTAGGTTGTACACTTCAACTACAACATTCTAGATAGATTCGGGACGTGTTAATTAAAAGTCAACCCTTAGTCAAAGGTCAACAGTAAGGTCAACAATCGTTGTAATTCAACGGTAAGACTGTTCAATTTAGGGTCAACAACCCTAAAATTAGACATTCATTAGATCACCAACATTAACCACAATCTTTTCCATGAGTGATGGTCAGGGCCGGCCCAGGCCCAGTGCCACAGTGGCAGCTGTCTAGGCCCCCAAATTGAAGGGGGCACCAAAAAAAAAAAACCCCAAATAACTAGGTGTATACATATATATAAATTAAAAATATAAAAAAAAGTCCAGAGCCCAAATAGGGGCTGGAGGGCAAGAGCCCAAGAAATTTTTAAAAAGGGCCCAGGTTTTGGGACCATTCGGTCCAGGTTTTGGGATTTGGGACCACTAGGTCCAGGTTTTGGGAGTTATAGCCAAAAAAAAAAAAAAAAACAATCAAACATTTGACTATTAGAGGGACCACTTGGTCCCCATTTTACAACCCTTTCCCGATTTCCTATAACCTTACAACCCTAATTCCCACCCAAGCCACCCCTCCCTTTGTTCCCCACTTCTCCCACTTCCTCCCTGCCGTTCCTCAGTTCCTGACTCCCTTTCAAAAGTTCAATAGCAAGCTGTTGCACGCAGGCAGACAGCAGTCACAGAACATTGGGCATTGGTTGCTCAAGTGCAAGAGCATTCACTCACCACCAACCCCTTTGAGTTTTGAGGTAAATTAATTTTTAAAATTTGAATTATCAATTCATAATTTAATATAAAATTTTGCAAGTGATATAGAATTGTTGTTGATGAATTGAATTCTTGACTAATTGAATTATTTGATTTTATTTCAAACCCAATTTTTTATAATATGTTAGACTTTGTGTTAGTGTTTTTAAAATATATAATATGTGTTGGAATGATAATTTTGATAGGATATTTTTGTTATATCATGTGTAGGTAATTTTTGTAAACAAATTATCGAAGCCATGTCTTTTAGGAAACAACTCTCTGGTAATATGAAAAGGAAAAAAAAGGCAAAGGATAACGAAATTGCCATAAGTTTAAACGGATCTCTTAATAAATTTTTCTCTACAAAGAATGAGTTAGTTAAAAATTTGAGAGAAAATGATGTTGGTGAAGAGTCACAAAATGTTGTTGGAGAGTCTCATGACCATGAAAATGGTAGTGATTTGGAAGAAAATGTTGGTGATGAGTCTCAAGACCATGAAAATGGTGGTGATGTGGATTTAAATGTTGATGATGATCATATTGGTGTAGAGGAAAATATTGAATCTCCTGAACCTATTATCCATTTAAATATTTATGATCCAAGAGTTTGGGATGATCTTAATAAAGAAATGAGAGATTTACTTGTAGAAAAGGGACCAATTCGAGAAACTAATCTCACTTATCCTAAGGACAAACTCTCTAGAAAATTTTCCTCACACTACTATGATCGAAAATTACTAACAGGTGAAATTTATGATAGGAAATGGCTCGTGTACTCAAAAGAGTTGGATAAAGTCTTTTGCTTTTGTTGTAAATTGTTTAAAACAATTGCCTCAAAAAGTGAGATAGCAAAAGATGGAATTAATGATTGGAGACATCTTGGTGTGAAGCTTGACCAACATGAAAAGAGTAAAGAGCATTTCACTAATTCGAGAACTTGGTTTGAGTTGAAAAGTAGATTGACAAAAAATCAGACAATTGATAAAGAATTTCAAATGCGAATCAAGAAAGAGACAAATCATTGGAAACAAGTGATGCTCAGAATTATTGTTGTTGTGAAATGTCTTCCCATACGTAGCTTAGCATTTCATGGAACAAATGAAAGACCTTACGAAGACTCTAATGGCAACTTCTTAGGTTTACTTGAAATGATTGTGGAGTTTGATCCAATAATGCAAAAGCATTTTCAACTCATTGAGAATAAAGAGATTCATCATCACTATTTGAGCCACAAAATCCAAAATGAGTTTATAGCTACTTTAGCTTCAAAAGTCAAAACCGCAATCATTAAAAAGGTAAAAGAAGCCAAATTTTTTTTAGTCATTCTTGATTGTACTTTTGATGCAAGTTATGTGGAACAGATGACTTTAATTTTGAGATGTGTTGACTTGTCAAGTAGGTCAATAAATATAAGGGAGTATTTCATGGAGTTTTTAAGTGTGGAAGATACATCAGGACAAAGACTTTTTAATGAGTTGCAAGATGTCCTAAAGTCTCTTGATCTTGATATTGATAATGTGAGGGGACAAGATTATGATAGTGGATCTAACATGAAAGGGAAACACCAAGGTGTCTAGAAAATATTACTAGACATAAATCCCAGAGCCTTTTACATGCCATGTGGTTCTCATTGTCTTAATTTAATAGTTTGTGATATGGCAAGTTCATGTCTTAAAGAAAAATCTTTTTTTGGAGCATGTCAATACATATATACAGAGTTTTCCAACTCTACAAAGCATTGGAATATTTTGCTTAAACATATTGATGGTTTAGCTTTGAAGTCATTGTCAACTACTCGATGGGAAAGTCACATTGAAAGTGTTAAAGCAATTAAATCCTAAGTAGCCCAAGTTAGAAATGCTTTGTTTACATTGGTGGAAATTACTGAGAATCCCCAATTGAGTAGGGATGCAGGATGTTTAGCATCAGTAGAACTTTCCAGTTTTGATTTTGTATTAAGTTTGGTTATTTGGTATCACATTTTGTTGAAGATTAACATGGTGAGCACAAAATTACAATCTGAAGACATGTGTCTTGATGTTGCTGTAAAGGCATTGGAAGCACTTGTTAACTTTTTTGAAAACTACAAAGAAACTGGTTTTGCTTTTGCCATGCGTGATGCTAAAGAAATTGCACTTGATTCGAAAATTGACCCTATTTTTCAAACTAAACGTCATAGACCTAGAAAAAGACATCATGATGAAGTTGATGGTAATAAGAGGGAACAACAGTCTACTGAAGAATCATTTAGAACATATTATTTTCTTATTATAGTGGATATTGCTCTTTCTCAACTGAAACATAGGTTTGAACAATTAAAGGCTTTTGAATCTATTTTTGGCTTCTTGTTTGATGCATTGAAGTTAATTTCATTGGATGATAAACAACTAAAAGAAAATTGTATGAATCTTGAAGCACATTTGAAACATGGAAATACCATGGATGTAGATGGAGCCGACTTATGTTCCGAATTACAAGTGTTGCAAATGATGTTACCTAAAGAAGCATTTCTCTCTAATAACCCTTGGACATCCTGGAAAAAGCAAACTTTGTAAAAGAAACTAACATGTGTCCTAATGTTTTGATTGCTTATCGTGTTCTGTTGACTATACATGTGACCGTGACATATGCAGAAAGAAGTTTTTCAAAATTGAAATTATTAAAATCTTACTTGCAGACCACTATGATTCAAGATAGGCTAAATGGATTAGCAATCTTATGCATTGAAAAGGATGAGATTGAAGACTTGGAGTATGATGATATAATTGATGATTTTGCTTCAAAAAATGCTAGAAGACAATTTCTTAAAGGTTGAAATTTCAAGGAGCTTTGCTAGGAATGGTTGTATATGATTGTATTTTTGATTGTCGGGGTTTAGGTACTATGTCCCCCCCGTTGTATATTTTTTCAAGTAATATAATTTGGGCGTGAGGGTCTAGCCTCTCAGCTTTGATTGAGTTCCAGCCTTCGTTAAATTTTTTTTTTAACATATGTTTCTGTATTAAAAAATGTCACATTTTGAGCTTTTGCACTGGACACCCAAAAACTCAGGACTGCCCTGGTGGTGGTTTTTCGCCCCTTTCTTTTTAAGAGCCTAGAGATTAAATAAGGCAAATAATTAAATACAAAAATTCAAAAAGAAAATCAAATGAAAAATTACCCAATAAAAAAAAAGAGAAAAAAAACCAACCAATCGCTTTCGTAGTGACCATGAAAAATCTCATATCAAGTATGGACAACATGCTGTCGACTAGTCAAGTGAGAACATGCAAGTTGGCAGGCCGTCTAAGCGGGTAGATCTCATATCGAGTACGAGTAAGCGGTGGTAAAGTATGGAAGCGTCAGCGAGCCGAGATAAGATGAAGAAGGAAGATACACGATGGTTAGAGAAGGACAATCGATATCTGTGAGCAGGAACTGACATGCTGTGAGATACGTCCTCAAATGAGCTAGAGAAGAATTGGGAGGGAAAGAAATAGAAAAATGTAGGGAAAGAGAGAAAAAGTAATAGGTTTATCTTTTGAAGTCCCATGGAAAAAAAAAAAGTTACGAGATAATTTGTGTGGGTTGGGCTTCCTTCCCCAAATTTGGCAGGTTAGTTTAAAAGTAAAACTAATGAATTTTTTTTGCAAATTTTGAGTTTTAACGATAAAGACAAAATAAAGGGTAAAGTGAATAGTATCAGGATTGACTTTTTAGTGTAAAAATGTGGTTTTTCGTTAAAGTGAACAATACCAGAAGTTTTTTGTTAAAGTTCTCTAGTTTAAATAGTTTAATGGATTAGTGGGCACAATAGTACCTTTTGTGCCGTGATCAAATAAAAATTAGTTTTTTGTTTGTTTGTTTTATATCTTTTTTGTGCTCAAATTTATAAAGTAAAACACATATGATGGTGCATAAATCACATTTATAGACACAAGAAGCCTTTGTTGTCTGTATTTTGTCAAAATTTGTCAGATCAAAGTATACATGTCCAACTTTGCATTGTTTCCGTGTTCATAAATGTTTTGTGTCCATTTTTTCCACTGGGCACAATAGGCGGTGCCCTTTATTGAACATGCGCTGTTGTAGTCTGTTGGTGCTTAAAGAGACGCAAACTTCTCATTTGTGTCCTTAATTTGTACACAAAAGCCTCTTTTTTTTGTTTTGTTTTTTTTTGTTGTAGTGCATTATCAATTAATTCTAATGAATCATCACTTAACCTTGGTAACCTAACGAGTCCTCATTTTTCTAAATGTTAGTAGTTATTTAAGATGTTTTAAGAGGTTGAGTCCAATTTGAAATCACCTGACACACCCCGACCCTAATAACAAAAGTTATGAGGACGTGATGTACTGGCCGACATTAAATTGACCATATGACCCAATCTGGAGATGACATCATAAGCGAACTTAATGATGAAGTCATAGCAAGATATTTATGATGTGTAAGAATTTGAACCAAAGATGTTCATTAATAAAATCCAAAGATGCTACAATAAATCACTTATCATCCTCCCCACTTGGAGACACAAATTATCTTGGGTTTAACCCTATTATTATCACATCACATTAGAGCGGCTAGAAGTTTCACACAACAATAACCACAATAAAGTGTAGTGCTATGCATAATCAAAGGTACGATTATACCATTATTACAACTAAGATAAAACTGCAGTAAATGAACCATCACCGAAAATTGAAAGGATGAAAGGTTCACTACCAAGCCCACTCATCATCACCAGTGCTCTGCTTACTCTTTTTACATCAAGTAAGGGTCGATAAAACAAAACATGAGTGGACCAGTTTTATCACAGTTATAAAATCATCGTTTAACATAATGACCCCTGTTTTGAAAACATATTTAGCGAGACTATATAATAATATTTACTACTATAATAATAAAATCTCATCAATCACTATAATCGAAAACATCAATCCAAGTTTAGAGATTGTACCTTACATCAATTAATCGATCATGCTAGCATTGACACACCCCGACCCGGAATGTCCACCTGAACTTTGAATCAAGCTGTGCTGGCCGACACTAGGAGGGTGACGAAGCCATAAAGTGTAGTGATGTGGAAAATGTGAATAAATTTAAATCTAAAAGTGCTAACTTGCGGGCAGGAATGAACCCATTTCACACGAGTAAAGTACAGTAAAGTAGGAGATTATACCATCGAAGGTAACCACCTACATCGAGATTTGCCAAAAATCCTCGTCGACACAAAAGCTCAATTGCTAAACCTGGAGGGGCGAAAAACAAGGTGAGTGAGCCTAAAAATAAAGTTTTGTAAAAACATTTTCGAAAATATAATAAGCCCTCTCTATAAAACAAGTATAGTTTCCAAAATATACATACTATGTATAGTATGAAAATACTTACTGTAGCCTACAATATCTCAAGACTTCAATACATCACAAATTTGTAAATAAGCATATAACTTCTAGTAATCACAATATCTCGCAGAAATAAACAAGTATGATTTACGCTTTAGTACTACAATCATGTGAAGACTGGCGCTATGCGCGTCACATACGGGTAATTGCCTATAGCAATCTAGGACAGGACTGGCACCTACAATGGATCCAAAGTGAGCGTACGGTGCGATATGAACATACACATGAAGATTGGCCCTGGCCCGGGCGAGTACTGACACTAGTGTAGCACACGATGAGCAAATAATGTAAATACGATCACGCAACAGTAAATTGATAATTCACATCAACATAATACTAATAAATAAAATATTGATCATGGCCGTAATTAAAATCCCATAAAAGTACACATACATATCCATCTCATAGGATTTAGGATAATTTTGTAAATTCTATTATTTCGCTAATTCTTATAAACGTTATTCTAATCCAGGCATACGTATAAAATTCTTTTTCAAATGTGTAAATGGAAACTTAATAAATATATGATATTTATAAGTAAAGACCCACTCACAGATTATGTCATTGGGTCGAACCTGCCTGTGGGTTTTGAAGATCCTTGTGATGCGTTTCGCCTAGAAACGAAATCATTAATGTAAATATATAATGTACTAACATTTAAACGTGTTTTTCGTACTAAGTACGGCTACTAAAGGAACTATTTTGAAATGGTCGAATTTCAGAAAACGGAGGGCAGATTTGGGTTTAACACGTCGAGAAACCAAAGGAGCGACCTTGGGTTCCTCTACGCCCCACCACAAGATGGCTGCACTGGCATCCACGCACTGCATACACCACTCGTGGCTGCCCACGTGCTTTCACAAGCCTTCTTGATGAAATCTGTAGTTTTTGCAGATTGCATGGCTGACTTTTAGAGCTCCAAATGAGCTCAAATATCAACCAAAACCAGTGATACAAAAACCCAAGTGAACCTAGAAGTGTACAAAATAAATCTATACCTATTGGAAGTCTAGTTGTGGTCAGTGTTGGCTGAGAAATTGGTCTGAAAATGGTTAGAAGGCCACAGTTTTCATTTCCCATAAAACTGGAAAATCCTTCCCTCATCCAATCCGCACTAACCTTTCCCCAAATCACATACAAAGGTTAAAAACGGTACAAGATCATGTTTAAAATGAAAAATTAAAGGGATTTTGAGA